TACTGTTTTGCAGCTGTGAAAAAAGACACGTGACTCAAAAACACCATAAACGCATCTGCGTGTGCGTTTTTTGATGCGTTTGCCATTCATTTAATAGGGGGCTTCATTTTTTTTTACTGCACCAAACATACACAAAAGAATGCAGCAAGCAGAACTTTGAAATATGCAATGGACCCACAAATGACCAGTGTGAAGCTCAAAGAATGAGAACTGAGTGAGCAAAGACTGCTGATTGCTCAGTTCTCACTGCTCTGTAAGCAGAGAGCTGGTGATTGTCCATCACCACTCTCTGCTCTGCCCCCTTCCCAGCTCTTACTGGAGCACTGGGCTGTGAGGTAGCAGGAGTGGCTGACTCAGGCTCTCAGTGAAGTGCCGAGAGTCTGAAACAGGTGCCGATCCAGGTATCAAGATGGATCTTCGGAATCTTTCCCCAGCCTGGACCAGCTTATGGCTGACAGCAGACTTTAGCCCACTGTTGGCTGAAAACAGGTCACAGGAGTGCAGAACAAACTGCTCTCCTGTGATCCACAGTAGAAGTACAGCTGAACAAGCTTTGACTGTACTCCTTTAACGTAGTAGTAAACTTAAAAAAAAAAAAAAACGTTTCCCCTGCAAGGTAATAACCTAATGTGCTGCAGCTAGAGTCCATTGTATACTAGCACATTATGTGAAACTTACCTTAAAACAAAGCAATCCAGCAGTGCGCTGTCACCGCTGACAGGGCTTCCATCTTCACCTAGTCTTCTTTCCAAGTTCCCAGGCTGCAGCTGCTTGAATGGCTGAGCCACTGATGACATCACTCCCACGCATGCGCACAGGAGTTTCAGCCACGGCACATACCACCCATGCCATTCCTTCAGAGCGCATATGCCAGTGATGTCATCGGCTGCTGCTCTGTAGCATGTCTCCTAAACGGTGCACATTTAGGAGATATTAATTTTACCTACAGGTAAGCTTTATTATAAGTTTACCTATAGGTAAAAATAGAAATGAGAGTTTTCTTAAGCAGGCCATACATGGGTCAAATTTCGAACGATTTTTCTGTAATCTAATGGTGCCACCAATGATTTTGAAAATCGGTCATTTTTCACATTTTCCAGCATGCCCGATAAAAGAAATGGGGAGGAACCACGAAAATCGGCCAGTGCCATTGCCCCACAAACAGAGCAAAAAGAAAAAATAAATAAATAAAAAAAAAATATATTATATATAAATAAATATATATATATATATATATATATATATATATATATTGGTCGATTATTCTTAGGTTCCATTTTCGAACGAAAAATCGTTTGAAAATCGACCCATGTATGGCTGGCCTTAGATTGTAAGCTCTAACAAGCAGGGCCCTCTGTTTCCTCTTGTACCAAATTGTATTGGAACTGTGATGTAATTGTATTGGAACTGTGATGTCTACCTTGATTTTGTAAAGCAAACTGTTGACGATCTATAAATCCTGTATAATAATACCAACACCACTTTAAGGATCATGCGTTTTTCTTTCGAAGAAGAAAACAGATCAGTGTGAAAACAGCCTTAGTATGATAAGATATATACAGGTTAGGACAAGAAATGTTTATCATACATATGTAAGGCTACTTTCACACCAATATGAGTTTTTGCCACGTTTGCGGTGCGTTTTTGACAGGACATGCGACTCAAAAAACGCATTGCAGGTGTGGTTATGATGCGTTTTCCATTGATTTCAATTTGGAGGTGCGTTTCTTTTATCACCTCAAACCTGCACAAAAAACAAATGCAGCAAGCAGGATTTTAAAAGACACACTGGCCCTACAATGGATCAGTGTGAAGAGTTCCATAGGAATACATGGTCACAAGTTTTTCTTACTTTTTTTTTTTTTTTTATTTTTACACAAAAGCAGAAGAAAAATGAATCAGTGTAAACGAGTCTAACAGCTATCAACTGAACATTAAAAAAAAAATAAAAAAAAGCAGCAGCAGCAAGGTAAATCATCCTCCAGCGGAATGTCAGCCTAGACAGAGACAGAGGTATGTGAGTGTGTCATCCTGGGGGAGACGTGCTTGGATGAGCCATGTCAGGAGTGTAGTCACTTCCTGATGATGACCTGTCACCCCAGTATTACACAGGACCCCCCCCCCCCCAGGCTATGATCCTCAGACATCCAGGCAGCCTGTCATCAGCTCCCAGTAGCCTGATCTCTCCTGGACATCTATGTGATCCCTTTATGACAAGCTACAAATGAGGAAAGCAGTTCCCACAACTCCTTCTATAATGAATGGCTGGCCATCACCAGCAGCTCCCAGCACAGCCCTCCTGATCCCCATCAGGACAAAGCAGACGGATTATAAAGTAAGAGCCAAGTCTGGAGCCGCCACACAGCAGACAATGAGTAGCAGGGCAGCAGCAGTCCTCCAATCAGGAGCCTCACACGAAGCAACACATGCAGTAGAACTGATCAGGCAGCATGGACATACCAGCTTGCGCAGTGATCCCTCGTCCATGGCGGAGAAGCGCTCTTCAGACATGTCTATGTGATGATCGGATGAGTTCTTCTACACACGTCTCTGCCTAACACCGATCTCCAACTACATCTGTTCTCTCCGGCACACCGCAACTTCAAATCACTACTTTGCCAGCCCCGTGTACGCCTCTTTCCTGCCCACTGAAAAATCAGCCAATCAGAGAACGCCATTGGGCTGTTCGTACCGCCTACCTGTCCCTTGACTGGACGGATTGAATCTGGAACATCCGCCCCTTCGCAGAGGGTGCCGGGAGTTGTAGTGCGGTGTTATGAAAGGTGTCCTGATGGCAGGTAAATAGATGGAATTCAAACTGAAACTGTCACTTCCAACGGACTGGAGAGTGAGTCAATGCCTTGTGTGTGTGGCTCCGGGATGAACAGGCAGACGGGAAGACGTCATTTGGGAAGCGTACCCTTCAGACTTGTCTGCTCAGTGAAGGGTGTATACAGGAGAGGAGATCAAGGCAGATTTTGTTTTTTTTGTTTACTTTTGGGTGTTGAACATGGGACGCTGTCTGGGTAGAAAAACGACTTTGTGGTTTTACATTGGCTGTGTTACCACCTAGATAAAATGTGATGACTTATGCCAGCCATAGACGGTTGGAAAATCGGCCGATTTAACGTCCGAAATCGTTGTCCGGTTTTCGCGGTTTTTCCACTTTTGGATTATCGGTCATGTTGGAAATTTCGTGGAAAATGACCGATTTTCACGTCGATGGTCAAATCGTATGATCGTTTTTACGAAAAAAAATATGCGCATGAACCATGACCTGGAAGAAAAAGAAGTTTTGCCTGTTACATGGGGTGAACTTTATGATTTGGTCGGCCGATTTTCGTAATCCTTTGTGGTTCTGTCGGTTTAATGAACAACTGATTTTTCTTTTATCGGACAAAAAACGCCCGTTTTTTGAGCCGTCTATGGCCTGCATTAGTTCACCTTTAGGCCCTATTCGCAACTGTGCAGTGTGTTACCTTTTTCATGCTTTTGCGCATTTGTTGTGCAACAGCATAGGGTGGCCCGTTTACTTGAATAAGCTGCCCTAGGCATGGCAAAGTAGCTCCTCCACCCTACTTTTTGTTTTACAAAAATTTTGACTAGTTTTCAAGTTTCTAGCATGTTTTTGAATTGTGCGTCTTTCGCATTTGCTAGCTGGGTTCAGAGTACCATTCAGAATGAAAGCGTTAGTAAACCCACAACAGAAAAATCAGTCTGTATATGTAGTAAAGCATGCTTGTTATACTCACTGTGGAACCTAGGGGGTTAATTCTCTGCATTGTGTAAAAAGTCTGTTTGATCCTGTCTTCTCTGATCCTCACCTGCTTCCAGTGCCCCCTCTTATCTCCTGATAAGACATATCTGTTGAGGCACTCTGCACATGATCAGTTTAAAATGTACTGTAAGGCCCCATGTACACAGGACACTTCTGAACGAGGGAAACTGCTGAAAAACGTAGGTTAAAAAACGTTTGTTTAGATGCGTTTGCAAAATGCGTTTATTTGCGTTTAGAAGCATATTTTAAAGATACGCACAGGAGAACCTCCCAAATGCCCAGAATGCACTGAAAAGTGGTAAATTATTAACTATTTCAGACTGTTTCAGAGAAATACAGAGAGCAGTATGTGTTGAGATAATTAGGTGTGAGTTGCTCATTACCATTTCTTTTGTTTCCAAGGGTGGGAAAGGTGGCTGGTGGAGGGAGTCATTAAGGTCACCTGGCAGGGGGTCTTCATGAGGAATTTGAGGTGTGAATGGTCATTAACATTTCTTTTGTTTCCAATAGGTGGTGGGAGAGGTCAGAGGTGTGAATTGGTCATTAACATATGTTTCCAAGGGTGGGGTCATTACAATGTGTGACAGCTTGGTAGGAACATCCTGTGTTCAGTGTTTGGTCCATCTGAGTACCCTGAAAACGCTTTGCATGCATTTTTCATGATGAAAAAAGGCTCTGGACAGCATTGTAAACTGGAAGAGTTAAAAACAATTTCAAACACTTATAAACGCGATTTGCCGCGTTTACAAGCGTTTTGCGTTTGAAACGCTGATAAAATCAACTGCTGAACGCAAGTTTTCTGCGTTCAAAAAAATGACTGTAAACTCAAATGCCTGTAAACAACTGTAAGTGAAGATGTGTACATGGACACATAGGAAAACATTAGGTTGAGTTCAGGGGCTGCTGAAAAAACCGCTGAACAGCGCCTAAACGTGAATTTATCAGCAGCAGTGTACATGAGCCCTTACAGAGTTTTTTTTTTTTCTTTGGAAGAGTGCATGTGATCAGCACGGGGCCAAGCATCACTGTCCAGACAGAGGTCAGGGGTCCTGCATCCTCCTGCAGCAAAATGAAAACTCCTACAAGCTTTAGCAAGTGCTCGACTGGACACTAATAGAAGTTACAAGACTGCTTTAACTGTGTGATGTGAAAAGGTCCAGACACAGGGTCAGGGGTTATGTAGCCTCCTAGGAAGTCAATGGAAAATAAACACTCCTCCTTCAAGCTTTAAAGTGGTTGTAAAGGCTGACTTTTTTTTACCTTCATGCATTCTATGCATGAAGGTAGAAAAACCTTCTGTGTGCAGCAGTGCCCCCAGCCCCCTCAATACTTACCTGAGCCCCATCGCTATCCAACGATGTACACAACAGCCTCGGCTGTCCCAGATCTCTGTCTCCTCACTGGCTGAGACAGCAAACGGGAGCCATTGGCTCCCACTGCTGTCAATCACAGCCAGTCAGCGAATGCGGAGAGAAAGGGCACGGGGACAAGCCGTGACTCCGTATGTGAATGGACACACGGAGTAGCGGGTGCCCCCATATCAAGATGTTTGCTGTGGGGGCACCCGACAGGAGGAGCCAGGAGAGCCTGCGGGGGACCCGAGAAGAGGAGGATCCAGGCTGCTCTGTGCAAAACCACTGCACACAGCGGTTAAGTATAACATGTTTGTTATTTTCCAAAAATAAAAAATGAACCTTTACAATCGCTTTAACCAGTGCTCAGCTGGACTCTGATAGAAGTCACAAGACTGCTATTGACTGCTGATGAGAAAAGGTATTTAGCAGTTTACCATATATAGTGAATGCAGGGTCCTGAACTTATTATTATACAGGATTTATATAGCGCCAACAGTTTGCTCAGCTCTTTACAATATAACGGGAGACAATACAGCAACAATACAGTTCAATACAAGAGGGATAGGAGGGCCCTGCTCCTTGGAGCTTACAATCTAGGAGACTTCGTAACACTTTACTGGCACTGCAAGCTTGATGCGCATTTTGGTGCATTTTTCACACATTTCTGAAACTCCAAGGTTTGCAGTGCAGTCATAGAGCCCCATGACTTTGCAGATTCTGCACTGTAGAATAATTCAGCTTCCTTTAAATTACAAACTTCCAAACTAACAAGTTTCCACAAAGCCTGGCCAGAAAAATAGCATTCTTAGTGATCCATGCTGTCCTTGCATATAAGTTAGGACAGCAGAAGGTACTATGAGCGAGCACCCATCATCACAGGAACAAGCTGTCTACCTTGTCCACGAATCCTTATATGCATGGTGCGTTGTCCCTTATCAACAAATCTACAAATGCACGGTGCACACTCCCTTGTCCACAAAGCTATAGCTGTGCAGTGTGCTCCCCCTTGCCCACAAATCTACAGATGCACAGTGCACTCTTCCTTGTCCACAAATCCACATATGTACGGTGCGCTCTCCCTTGTCCACAAATCCCCATGTGCACGGTGCGCTCTTCCTTGTCCACAAATCCACATATGTACGGTGCGCTCTCCCTTGTCCACAAATCCACATGTGCACGGTGCGCTCTTCCTTGTCCACAAATCCACATATGTACGGTGCGCTCTCCCTTGTCCACAAATCCACATGTGCACGGTGCGCTCTCCTTTGTCCACAAATCCACATGTGTACGGTGCGCTCTCCCTTGTCCACAAATCCACATGTGCACGGTGCGCTCTCCCTTGTCCACAAATCCACATGTGTATGGCGCGCTCTCCCTTGTCCACAAATCCACATGTGCACGGCGCGCTCTCCCTTGTCCACAAATTCACACGTGCACGGTGCGCTCTCCCTTGTCCACAAATCCACATGTGCACGGCGCGCTCTCCCTTGTCTACAAATCCACACGTGCACGGTGCGCTCTCCCTTGTCTACAAATCCACACGTGCACGGTGCGCTCTCCCTTGTCTACAAATCCACACGTGCACGGTGCGCTCTCCCTTGTCTACAAATCCACACGTGCACGGTGCGCTCTCCCTTGTCCACAAATCCACATGTGCACGGTGCGCTCTCCCTTGTCCACAAATCCACATGTGCACGGTGCGCTCTCCCTTGTCCACAAATCCACATGTGCACGGTGCGCTCTCCCACAACTCTACAGATGCGAAGTGTGCTCCCTACATTGTGCGCTCACTCATCCACATACCCACACATGCATGGTGTTCTCTCCCTCATCCTCAATTCCACATGTGCATGGTGAGCTCTCCCTCGTCCATAAATCTGCACATGCACAGTGTGCTCTCCTTCATCCACAAATCTACACATACACAGTGCATTCTCACTCTCACAATGCACATCAGTGAAGGAGAAAACGTACCTGTTTGCAAAATTTTATAATAGTAACAAAGGAAAACTTTTTTTTTTTTTTCAAATTGTTTGCTCTTTTTTTGTTTATAGTGCAAAAAATAAAACACCCAGCGGCAAGAAAATACCCCCAAAACAAAGCTCTATTTTTGTGAAAAAAATAATAAAAATGTAATATGGGTACAATGTTGCATGACCGCGCAATTGTCATTCAAAGTGCGACAGTGCTGAAAGCCGAAAATTGGCCTGGTCAGGAAAGGGGTATAAGTGCTATGTAGGCAAAGGTTTAACCACTTGCCTACCGAGCACTTATGCCCCCTTCCTTACCAGGCCAATTTTCAGCTTTCAGTGCTGTCGCACTTTGAATGACAATTGTGTGGTCATACAACATTGTACCCATATGAATTTTTTATCTTTTTTTTTCTCATAAATAGAGCTTTCTTTTGGTGGTATTTACTCGCTGCTGGGTATTTTACTTTTTGCGCTATAAACAAAAAATTTGCAAAAAATATGAAAAAAAAAAAGTTTTTGTTTCTATTATAAAATTTTGCAAATAGGTAATTTTTCTCCTTCACTGATGTGCGTTGATGAGGCTGCACTGAAAGGCGGCACTGATAGGCAGCGCTGATGGGCACTGATAGGCAGCACTAATGAGGTTTCAAGGATAGGCAGCACTGATGGGTACTGATAGTCAGCACTGACTGGCTGCACTGCTGGGCACTGACTGGCTGCACTGCTGGACACTGGCGCCACTGGTGGGTGGCACTGATGGGCACAGGTGGGTGGCACTGCTGGGCACAGGTGTGCAGCACTGCTGGGCACAGGCGGGCGGAAGTGGTGGGTGGCACTGCTGGGCACCGATCATCAGGGCACTGATAATCAGTGCCCTGATGATCGGTGCCGATCCGTGCTCTGACAACTGCCGGTTCTCAGCAGTACTTTCCCCACGGAGATCGCCGGGTGTGTGTGCCCCCGGGGTGGGCAGGAGAGCGTGTTCTGGGAGGACATCAGAACTGGCCGGCCGCAGTGTAGCCATCATTCGGCTATCTGCTATCGGCTAGTTGGCAACTAGTTAAAGAAGGCTTGATTTCTCTACACTGCATGGTAATTTTTTTAAACTAATGGGGCCTCTTGACTGCAGTGCAAACTTTATTATACAGGTGAAGTAAGACTTTAAAAAATGCTTCATTGAAAAGAAGGCTTTTAATACTTTCCTACTCACACCGCTGATCTTTGTTGTTTTGAAGTGATACTTGTATATTTTACACTGTTCCGGGATTGTGGAATGGCTGGTTCCCCACTGCTTACTATATTCTTATCCGCTGGCTGCTATGTTACTACTGTAGCCAGGTGCTTGGCTAAGAATGCGAGTCAGAGAAACACTGGCTGCAGCGCCTCTCTGTAGCTGCTGCTCTGTGGTGCTGAACTGGTTAACAGCTATTTCAGCAAAAGGAGGGAGTTGCTCAGCAGCAATGCACTGTGGGAACTGTAATCCTATACTCTACTGTGTAATCAAGAGCCTTTGAACTACGGTTCTCCAGAGAGGAGATTGCTAGGAGAAGGGGAAAGTGCTGGATTTCCCAGACTGTACAGGAGAAAGCTTCCTCTTGCCATAAGGGAGACTGGAGAGTGCACATCACTGTCCAAGGTGCATCATCACTGCCCCATATTGGCGGCCTGAGCGGGATCCAGAGTGCTGAGTTTGGGGTGCCAACAGACAGACACCTTAGTGCAGAGCACAGCATGGGCAAATCACTGTGTGTGACTGGATGGTGAGCTGCGGTATGGCTGGGACTGGTGAGCTGCTGCTGTGGGGATTTACTATCTGCTTCTAGAGAGACTGAGCACTTTAGGAACTTACAATACAGCCAGTTAGTAGCCTTATTGCTGTTTGCAGGCTTGACTAGAACTATTCTGATGTGTACCAACATTGCAACTAGGCCCCAATGCTAGCCGGATGAACAATTGAGACTGTTGCTTATGCTAAGAGGTATCTTTCAGAGACATTGCACAATATCCTAGCCATTTTCCAAGAGTGTACTCTAGACTAGGTATAGTATTATTCACATTGCAGTTAAATTGGTTGTAAACCTCAGATATGAAATCTAAAGAAAGCACATATTGTTTTTAGCGTTTACTTGCCTCTAAGTGTCACTTCTTTCTGTTGTCTAGTTCCCCTGTTATCGGCATGAATCACTTCTGACAAGTTTTCCTGGCACCAAGAGGTAAACAGTTGACAGGGGATCGACCTCTAGCACATAGCTTGTGATTGACAGCCTCAGCTCTGTTCCTGTGTGCTGTGTGAAGGGGGAGGTGGATGTGTCCCATCTCCAATCAGCTCTCAGAGCTCTTGTACAGTGTGTAACTGCAGCTCCCCACCCCGTTTTGTGGGTTTGTGAATTATCCTCCTTTCATCTCTTGACTTTTATAAGGGTGTACAGGGGAAATTGCTACAAATAAACAGGCACAACTTATGTAGGAGGACTTGTATCACCTCTGTGTATCACCTGAGGCCAGTCACTTCACTGGGTATAGGTAAGGGTTTACAACAACTTTAATGATTATATGTACTGTTTATTGCTGACTTTGATGATTTATGTGTCCATTCCAGTCTAGTGGTACAGAACTCTGTTCTAATTTACTTTGACATAGTGATTATACTGTCTGAACCTACCTTCTGTGTGCCTGTTTATGCTCAGACCATCACTTTTTCTAACCCATACCAACACATTAAGTTAATTTATCACTAAACGGTCTTGCGTCTATTTCCTGATATTAATTCACTGTCGAGTTAAATGTATCCACACTTGTGTTCCTATAAGCGTGTGCAGTAACTTTCACTCAACTAGGTGTGCCAGAGGGGCTGAAGTTCTTCTTGGAGTTGAGGAGCAGAACAGAGAACCCAAATTACCAAGCAGCTTCTTTGGAGGAAGCGCTACATGTAGGGTCTGGGATGCCTTTGTTCTACAAGTAAGTTACAAAGACAACAAGCTAGAGCCAGCCAACCTGGACCCTGCTGCAGCCACTGTGCCAAGAGCAGAACAGCTGACTAGAATCAAGTGTGGTGGCTGATATTCCCAGAAACACTTTGGCAAAAGAACAGATCCTCCAAACAGTAACAGCATTAGTTCCTGACCAGAGAGTATTTATACTGAACTTGAAACCAGATCAAGGGACCTCTTGTACTTACAGTACATCCTACAAGAGTGGGGAAGGGAGATCCCTGCCTGCTTCCAAGGAGCTAGTCTACAGATGACTAATGACACTGAAGACTGCCTGGTTCAGCTGAACTTGCCAGTCGTCAACCCAGAAGGCTCAAGTCAGGCAACTTCGACAACAGGA